GAGAGAGAGAGAGAGAGAGAGAGAGAGAGAGAAAGAGAGAGGGGGGCGTGCTCATGCGTGCGTGCGTGCGTTTCTGCGAACAAAATTTTGAATGTATTTTTAAAAAAGTGTACGGGTATATTTCTTATTTTATATTTCTCTGTGTGTTGTTATATGTATATTTCAGTTTTTTATTCCTCATTGTTGAGGACATTATCACATTGAGGGCAATACAATTGATGGAAACATAAGGAGACCTGGTTTTTATTGTTGTTGAGTTTAATACCTGCTTGAAATGAGATACGGTAATAATGTCGGCTATCTCCATTTGTCTGCCAGGATATGGAGGTATTATTCTCGGGTGGTTGGAGGGCGCTTCTAGTAGGTCTTACTTCTTCACTTTCTTCCCTCTGTTGTTTCTGTCTGTCTTAGTTTTTCTCAGCACTAAATGACCATTACATGTATTGTGTTGTGCACGAGCGTCTCTTTACTCAAACAAGCAAAAGGGAAGGGTAGATATTGATTATTTTCATTTGCGTCTATTTGGGATGGGGAGGGGTGTTAAATGTTACATCAAGCTGATCGAGTGTCTCTGTTGGTTTGCTGGGATAGTGAGGTGTTACTACCGAGTATCTCCAGCGTCTGTGGTGTAGTGGTTAGGCGTTTCGCCGCGCATATAAGAGACCTGAGTTCGATTCTCGAGTCGGGAGAAATGTTTATCAAGTATCTCGGTCTTTCTTCTGGGACGTCGTATCCCTCTCAGTCAGGAATGGTCCTGGACAGGCAGGGTCGGAAGCCTTCCTCCTAAATGGTCTAAATCGTGTTGGTGAGAGCGTAAAAATACCTACATAACGCCAATAATTATTTACCTAGAAATCTGTTGACACACGTGACGTAAAGCTGTGATGTTTTCATGACCCACTGTCGAATGGTGGGTGGTTGGCAGGCGCTCTGGCGTAGTTTGCGCCTTTTTTTTGCCAATAAAAATCATTGTCCTAATCTCTTCTCCTTTTCTTTTCATGTTTCTCTCTAGTCACACCTCTAATTTTCGGCACTTCTATGACCAATTTGTGTTACAAGTGCTGTTAAACTCTAACTCATCCTCATCAAGTGCCAGATCTGCAACAGGCATCGGCGATCATGGTTCTCCAATCCTTAGGTTGCTCGGTGGATGCTCTAAAAAGAAAGCTATATTATATTTATATTTTAATATCCTGATCTTTTTCAACAAATGAGTCGAATCGTTGTACATGTACTGATACTGATAGCGTTTCCAAATTAAATATGGTTGTATGTCCTAAATTCCTGAAAAGAATACCAAAGCAAACTTTCTCACAACTGATTAATTATCCGCCGCTGTGTCGAGGTGCTTTTCTTTCTTCAACACATCGGTTTTTGTAGCATCTGTTAGTGTTAGTGTTGCAAGTTCCGGAAAACTCTTTACCGGGTACTTAAAAAAATAAAAATAAAAGAACAAACTATAAGCTCAAAACTAACTCCAAAACGTACTGATAACCTTGGCTCGGGTGCGGATCTTTGGAGGTGCCACTGGTTTGTCACATGTTTTCTTCTCCTTTTCGTTTCTTTTCTCGTGTTTTTAGAAGAAAAAAACCCATCTATCAATCTTACTCTTTCAGTAGGCCCACTTTTTACAGCACCAAACGACAGATAACTCAATGAGGATGTGCACTCTGATTCTGATTATTCTAACTAGCAAACGAGGAGCGCGACTTCAACGTTCGCACAGGTTTATCAATTCTACATGTATTTTTTTTCTTTCTCTTTCTCTGAATCTTGATAAAGCAGGCAACAACATGCACATGTACTATGACATATACAGACTCGTGTTTGGGATGTGTGTCAGCGTAATGGTTTGGTGGGTGGTTCCCGGATGCTCTGGTATGGTTTGCCTCTTCTTTCCTATCAAACATCTATTGTCCTTATCTCTCCTACTTCTTTTTTGTGTTTGTTACTCTCTTGTAACACCTCTAAGTCTAATCTTCGGAACTTATATGACCTTATTGTGTTGCAAGTGCCGTAAAACTCCTACTAAAACTAAAAGTAATGGTTTGTCAAGTCCTGCAACATTGCCTATGGCCTGCTGATCGGACGTACACATTCACAATGTATGAGTCCGCTACACAGGAGACGTGAGCTCGATTCCCGAGTGAGAGGGATTTTTATCGTGTATCTTTGACTTTTTGCTGGGATGTTGTATCCCTCCTAGCTCGAGTTGGCCCTGACAGGCAGGATCGGAAGCCCGCCTCATAAATGAAGTAAAATGTGTCGATGGGAGCGTAAAAACACTTACACATTTTAAAAAAAGTGTTCATCTTTACTCAAACAAACAACAGTTGCCCGACAGCCGAAGTGTAACAACAGTCCGCTGGAAGTATTTACAGTCGTGACTTTATTTCGAACAGCCAGTAGAGTTTTATTTCAGCGCATGCTCACGGAAGTACCATCAGATTCATGTTATTGTACAAACAGAACATGCAAACATTTACTCACCCATTCCCATACTCTCCGCTCACACACACACACACACACACACACACACACACACACACACACACACACACACACACACGTACAAACACAAATATGTCTCGAGTCGCCGTAACGGTCATGTCTTGACTTTAACTTTAATCAACAGACAAATACATTCACTGATTCATCTACCCAAGTGGTACTTACATTTTGTCTACATTGCCATTTTTTCTGCTTTGAAAAGACACGTTTTGTTCTGTGGATAATTTGTTTCAGCTAAAATTTTCTAGCCAAAGTAAATGTAAAAATGAAGAGTATTATTAATACCATAGAATGACCCAGACAAAGATAGAGAAAGATCCACCCGTATTTCCTGTGAGTTCTAAGTTTAGAAACATTTCCTGTGCACGATGGAGGGGCCGGACTCGTCGTACTCCTGTTTGGAGATCCACATCTGCTGGAAGGTGGAGAGAGAAGCCAAGATGGAGCCTCCGATCCAGACCGAGTACTTCCTCTCAGGGGGAGCAATCACCTTGATCTTCACTGAACTGGGGGCTAGAGCAGTTATCTCCTTCTGCATCCTGTCGGCGATGCCCGGGTACATGGTCGAGCCGCCAGACATGACGGAATTGGCGTACAGATCTCTCCGGATGTCCACGTCACACTTCATGAT